TGCCTTTTTGAATTAAAAAAGCTTCCCTGGCCTTACGGATAGAGTCTCGGTTAGAAACGATTTTTTCGATGGGGATTAATTGCATGTCGTTAGCAGTGTAGTCAATTATTCCCTTCCATCCATCTGTGGCCTGTGGTGGGTTATGCCTCCACATTTATTTTTTAATTAATTAGATTTTCTCCCAATTTTTTCTTCCTTTTTCTTCTATAAAGATCTCCTTGCTCCCACCCATGCATTTATGTCACCTCCATCCAAAGAACTTTGTTGCAATTAAAATAATCAGTACTCCACAGAAAAAAACACTACTGTTGTTGCGAATTATCCGCTCATTTCAGTTTAAAAGAGCCATATATATCTTCCCTTGCTCGGTGGCTGGAGGTCTAATTTTTTTTTCTGTTTAATATGATCTCAAAAATGTCACGTCTTTATCCTTGTAGCCATCGTGATTTCAAACCCAATTTTTGCGCGGCCAACATGTGCAAAAATCTGTATTTGTACGTAAACGCCTTGGTATGTAAGGCTCACCAAGAACATATGTACGCCAGCAACAAAAACAGCAATAATGAAACCCTTATTTACATTTATGTACAAAGACAGGGTCAATCCAGCACACGACAATGTTCATTGGGTGCCTGGAGGCTCTTGTCAAAGCTGTATTGTGGCACGCATGAATATCTTCCGCAGTCCACTCCACGTTTCCACTCCAAGCCAACTTGTGTTTTTACATTTAAGCTCGTCAGCAGATCCGCCGTCTCGACTAGGACTACCAGGAGCTCTCCACTTTTGAACATACCACTCTTCCGCACTGCTAGCGTCCAAAAGACTTTTCAATATCGCGCGACCTCTCTGTGGAATGAGTTGCAGCCTGCGCTCAAACTTAGCCCATGCGTGACGGATTTCAAGCGCCTACTCAGGCGAAAGAATCTTAATGACTGTTCTGTTTAATTTTATTCTACCTTTGACTTCTTTTTACGTTATCATTGTCATGTGTTTAGCTTTGCGTTTTTTAAAATTTTGTGATGTAAACAAAGTATCCATTTATGAATGTATGTAAAATAAGCCACGAAAACTACAGATGTGAAAAGCCTAATTTAATTAAGCTAGCCTGAATCTGAGATATCGTCCCAGTCGCTCGCTCCGTCACAGCCTCTGCCAGGAAACAAAAGCGGGTGAAACTTAGACTGCCCGAGAATAAGGATAAACTAGAAGCAAAACACGTATTTTTAACTGCTTTAAGGTTACAGTGCTATACATTGTAACTCCTTATTGATTTATATATATTTAGCATACACATCAACACAGGTGGTTCCACCATTATCTCCCTCGTGTGCGTTTATCAAATCCTCTCCGTACCAGATTCGCAGCTGTTGCCCAGAAGATAGAAATAGCGGAGTTGAGATATCCGAGAAGACAATCTCCGGGGAATCTGGGTGATAGCCCGGCAAGGTATACCGTAAGCCTTCACCATCCGGTAGCAGGATGTCGTCATTTGCGGTCGTGATAAATGTATCAAGCTCGGATTGCGATTTACGGCAACCAAACTTAGACCATGCATTTTCATCGTCACTCCAAATACAAGTGACTTCACCCGCTACGTGAACAAGCTTCACAGAGTTAACAGAGCCACCAATTTCAACCTCAAAGCTGCCAAAGTTATCGTCTTTCGCCCCAAAACACACTGGGGCAGTGTTCAGCTTTTGCCAAGGGGTTTCTGTAATATTCATAAAATTATAAAACTCTTATTATTGTTTACATTATATCTTAAAAATTTTGAAGGAAAACGCACGTTAAACTGATGCTTTGTTTCTCTGACTATATAGCAACACGGAAAATGAGGGGTCTTAATTTGCTCCTTTGAATATTAACAAGGTCATCAGAAAAAAAGTAAATTTTCCTGTTATTAATAATGTATTTCTAAAGGATAAGAAAACTTACTCTTCGTACGTTTGTCACGAAAACTGAACAAAATAATACTGACCACTGCAGTAAAATCAGATAGCCGAAACAAGCTTTTATTTTGCAGGCCGAAACGATTTTTTCAAACGGACTGTTAAAAGTAGTGAAAATAGGTATTTATAGAAGGAAACTGAAAAATATACCAAAAGCATTCTAATTTAAAACATCTGGAAACTAACTTGAAGCTAGGCTATAGAAGTTAAAGAACAGCTTACCCGAGTCAGGATTATCAGCATAAACTGAATTCGCTCTCTTCACAAAATACTTGGAACGAAAATACTTTGTGTTGTTAAACTGGCAGATTTTGTAGGCAAGGTTGTAATTAACACTTTGACAAGCTGGTTGCATGCTACAAGCGATGTAACAAGCAAACAGGTGATCTGTACTTAATGAGTTATAGACGTGATCAACAAGGGCGAAACCATGTTCTGAGTGGTGATCTGTACACGATCTACAAGCTAGTTCCCGGCGAAAAAAAGTGAAGAAAACTATGAGACTGAAAAACACCATCATGTGTGTTTAGAACCTCTGCGGAGTACTTCAGCCAACTGTGTATTCTGAAAGCTGCTGATTGAAAAACTTTTTGTCGTCCCATATGTCCATTATAAATATTTTATTGGTCAAAAGTTTGCCGGGGTTATTGTTATTAGTGTTGTATATATAGAGATCTCTTCAGTGTAGTCTTCTTGTTCTTTACTGATTTTAACAGCATGTATTTGTCACATCTAACGTGAATATATAGAAAAGGTACCACCAGGGAGCAGGGCCGGGATGGCGCAGTGGTAAGAGCGCTCGCCTCCCACCAATGTGGCCTGGGTTCGATTCCGGCCTGGGGCCTGTTTCTCGAAGGTCCCGAAAAGTTTTGGTACCCGACAGGTCGTATCAAAATCTCAAACCTTATGATTACAAAGCTGTTTTGTTCACATGTACTAATTATGAACAGAGGCTCCCTTAATGCAAGAAGTTTCAGGCGTATACACCTCTTTGTTTCTTGATGCAGATTAATTAAAAATTGCTTTGCGGGCCCGGAAGGTTTCCGGGGCTTTCGGGAAACGGGACCCAGGTGCCATAGATACGTTGAGTTTGTTGTTGATTCTCGTCTTGCTCCGAGGATTTTTCTCCCGGTTCTCCGGTTTTCCTTCCTCCACAAAACTAACCTCTCCAAATTCCAATTCGACCCAGATAGAAGACCTGCATGAACCAACTACTGCTGCTGTGGCTTCCTCTCTAACTATTGGTTTTTTTTTTTTCTTTTTTGTAATTTACTGAAACAACTTTGTTGTAGTGTGCTCTCTCAGTTATTTTGTACTATCGACCAGAGAACAACAATCTATGAAGTAAGTTATGTTTTCATCAGGTCAAGTGAAAAACAGTACTAGTAAGGGCTGTTTATAATTTTTGTTTTCGTATCACTGCATGTTTTAACTTGTTTTAAAGTCAGGACATAAACCAAACATCTGTAATTTCGGCAGTTTTAGTAATTGTGTTTTGCCTTTTTACTCGATAAGGTATTTCTAACCGTGAGAGAGGAAGGAACCGAGATGATCTCCCTAATAAAAGAATAAGATATAGATTAAACCCAATTCACCGGTTGACCCTAGTGCAATAGTTTGCCATTTGTGGCTTTCATCTCGAGCGAAAGAAGCTAATCTATCACAATAAAATATTTTCTGTACGTCAAAGGAGCAGTATCTCTCCACACTGAACCAGTTCATTTCACTTTTTGCTAGACACACGCACCGATGCGGAATGATGAACGAGATACCACTAGTGAAATCGTTTCAGTGGATTTTCTTCCTTTTTGTAATTAATTTCGTTGGCCTTTCTACTTGTTAAAAAAAAATTTCCATCCTCACCTCCAGGAAAATGAAAATTTCAAAGGAAAAGAGTCCATGGTGGGGGCGGTCAAGCTTTTCTCCGATATTAAGAGAGTAAATTCGAGGATTTATTTCCTGTGTCTCTGGTCCAATTCATTCCATGGTGCTCTTTCAGACAAGCTTGGCAAGATCTTCTTAAGTCACCCCGTATATAAATCTCTCCAAATCAATAGGAAATTTAAGTCGAAAATGACAGAAGGTTTTGCAATACGGTAAAGGACAGTAAACTGCGTAGTTATTTGTCATGATGTAAAGGGTAACTGTAGAATTCACACATAGCCAGACTTGGTTCACCTGAATGGCACGTATGGCATGTATGCAGCGCGGACCTATTTTTGAAATCGGGCGATCGATAGCGTGCGCCCTGGCGGTGGGGAGCTGAATTCGAGCTTGGAAGACAAGATTTTTTTTTCGCAGCTATTATTTACCTTAGCAATTCACTAAAGTACTTTTTTCCCAGAAGTTCTTAGAATTCTCAGAGCTGTGTCAAATTTGAGAATGAACTACGGCCCTTATATTTCCCTTCCAAGGATTGAAGTGATAATAAATGGAAAAGACCCGGGAAAAGATCCAGGTCACGCACAACGATAAAAATAGATGGCACTCTTCTACTCTTTAATATTGAGGACCAATATTGGCTTTTTAGCTTTAATCACAAATGATCATTAGCATTTTGTTTTTGTTACAGAATCTGTTTTCCCACATTGTTTGGACTACGGCAAAACTTTGATGTATTTTTATGGAAATATAGCCTAATCGAAGTCTTAATTACATGTCAGACTTGAACAACGACGCCAGGCAAATACATCTACTGATTGCACCTATTTTGGGGCAGTTACACCTCACTTCCGATAAACAAAGACCTGCTTGTCAGAGCTCGTTAACGAAGTAAGTGGACTGTAATGAATCTTATTCATCGGATCGGTATCCGGAGTATTTGTTGTCTCGAGTTTCTAGGCACGCATAATTTTCGAATCCACTTGAATTGTGGGCTGTTAGATAGATTTCGTCATGTCCTAGCTAAACATGTATTTTATAGAGCTAGTTTGCTCACAAGTTTTACTGCCTTAAGTGTTTTCCTAATTAAGTCTTAAATTTTAAGATGGCCAAGGCAACAAGACAGTTGCGACACAATGAAGAACATTACGTTGCCAAGATGAATTTCCGAAGTGAGAAGATTCTACGAAGTCAAATCGACCGATTGAACAAGGAGAAACTGTTGCAGGTGAAAAGCCTAAACGCTCAAATGAGGACGTATGAGAGAAAGTTGCAGAAGATAAACGACAGAGTCGCTGAAGTGGAAAAACTTTCACGAACTGACTTCGACCCGTCTCAGCGTCTTCCAACTCGAGAGCACTTCAACAAGCTAAACGGTGATGCCGTGCGACAGCGACATCTCGCCACTGGAGTCGGTTACTCGTATATAGATCAGCTGTTAGGAGTATCAAAACCACTCGTGAACAGACCGCTAAGGTGGGGAATAAACCCGTCTTTACCAAGTCTTCAACAGCACACTTCTAAACCGATTACTCTGGTAACAGACGCTGCCTCGTCGAATGCATTCATGACGGAGATTAAAGGTCACCCTATCTATCTTCGACCGAGAGAAGCAGTTTATATCAAGAGGCAAAGACCTGCTCCGGATGCTTTGATTTTGCCTCCCATCGCATTGAAAACCAGTGAAAAACAAGCCATGGAACGGCAGTCAGTGTTTCATGTCGAGAACAATACAATGTCACATGATTCTTTGCCCGAAAAAGACGAAGTTAATCCCGTAATAACTATCCAGGACGTAAGTTCGCAGCTCTCTCCGATTACTGAAAGCGGAACTGAACAAGCAACAGAAATCTCTAAAACGGACGGTGAAAGTGATATTGCCATACATACAACGGGAATGTTAAAGAAAAAAGAACATATCAAGGTGAAACTGAATGAAACAGAACCGTCTAACATTATGGAAAAACCTGACATAGTTGTAGAAAACGAAGAGGCTTCGCGTATGAACAAGGAAATATTCAGGAGTGCTAGTAGTTCACCCTCATCATCATTGCGAGGGCATTTTATTACAGAATATGAGTTTCCATCACACGGTGCGAAACGTTTTACTCGAAGCACCGAAATGTTAAGTGTTGAAACGAGCGAGGCTCGGACCGAAAAATACAATGAAAACGAACCAAACTCATTTCGGTATCAACTTCATGCTAGAAGATTTTCTTTGTAAATTAATCCGACAAGAATGACCTTTCAAAATGGTATCACAATTTCCCTATTAATAGCAAAAAATTGAATATTTTACATATATTTTACATATGTATGACAAAACTATAGTTTCGTTATTCTTTTTAAGATAGCAAAGTTAAAAATCAATTATTATATAAACAGATTATTTGTCTTGTGGCAACTTCATGAATGACACGAATTTGTCTTGGCTGGCAAAGACAATAAATAGATAAATGAGGATTATTATATTTTTGCAGCATATTTTCTTCATAAATACACTTACTATCAAGGTAATTAAAGTTTATTGTTATAGGAACAGTTTTGTTGTTTTAACTGAGTAGGCATTCCGGCGAATTAACAAGGTCCATGGATTAGCGCACAGTAGAGGTTAGTTAGGAGCAGTGATCTAAACAAGAAGCGCTGCTTATTCTTCAAAAAGGATTTTTTTGCGCATCTCTGCTCTCCAGTAATCAGTACCTTCTACCTCCCAGTCAAGTCGGTGGCGGTTTTAGTCCACGCGTGCTATCCGCGTGCAATTATTCACGCGCGACTACCATCAAGAAACTATTCGATGCTGGTCTGTATTTCAAAGCTGATAGATACCCGGGATGGATACGATCAAAAGTCAAAACTGAAGTAAGAAGCTGTACCAGCTGTGGTTTGCGCGCGCGCGCTTATCTCGGTCGAAACCACGCGCCTTTCTAATTGGTCAGCGGTTTCAAGTGGAAAAATATGCCTAATTAATAAGATTCACGTGCGTATATCGAGAAGTGATATGAAGTCCTGTGAAAATCCGTTTAGTTATAGCTAAATAACCTTTTATTCTTCAATCGCGGCAAATCAGTCCCTTAGCTGGGTATCAAGTCTACCCTTTGTTGTCATGAGGAACTCATCGTCTCAATTTAAACGAGCTTATTCGCTAAAAGACGGCGAAATGAACGGTGTTCATGGCGAGTCTCCTCTGCACAATTTTGTGAAAGCCAAGCAGAAGATTAACTCCACTTTTGGTGACATTGGGAAGTATCTTGAGAACTGTAATAACTTTCTGGCGGATTGCAAAATATCTGATGATAATAACGAAGAAATCAAGAAGTTTTCTACTGAGGTATGTGTGTTTGACATAAAACAAGTTAAAAAGCTTCTCAGCTTATGTAAGACGTGTAACTTGTACGTAAGCTTAATTAAGCTTAAGTTTATTACGTTTACACATGTACTAGTTAAAGTTTGTTGCCTTTAGCCTTATGTTTCGTATCATTACTGATCAGTGGTTTTTATACGGTCAAAATAATTATCCATGTGTGTTAAATTTGTAGAAACATTCATTATGATTGGAATAAAAACAATGGAACACGAGCTTTTTCTGATTTGTGCATCATGTACAATATAGACCTGTTAATTAAGATTCAGTATCTAAAATGTGCTGTTAGGATGTTTAAGTTTTTAACGTTGCCTCCTGCCCTAAACCTACAACCTGAGGGCCTGTTTTGGATAGTTTGATTTTTAGAATATGATTGCCACATTACACCAGTTTAGTCCCATTTTGAGCTGGTTGACAATAATGTGAGATTTGTGAGCAAATGGTGACCTTGTTTTGAGATATTTAGGTAGCCTTTTACAAACTTGACATTAGAAGACATACAGATCATAAATTTTTGAAAAATATTTTGCAATTAAAAACTTGATTTGTGTCATGAGTAAATGGTTTGTTTCCTCTGGCTTATAAACAGGTTTCAGGCTATTTAGCACAGGTCTCAGGTATCTCTGAGGTGTTAGCAAGAGACCAGATGAAAGTTGCTTTCTTTGGGCGTACAAGTAATGGAAAGAGTACTGCAGTGAATGCTATGCTACAAGACAAGATCTTACCAATGGGCATTGGTCATACAACAAACTGTTTTCTGAGTGTTCATGGCTCTGATTTACCAGACCCTTATATTTTAATTCCAGAGAGTAATGAGAAAAAGAATGTCAAGGTTTGGCTTCATTTTACTTTGCTATATAATATATTTAATATGTAACTCTTCATGGTATACTATGACATAGGTTAATCAGCACATGTGACATTTAAATGGCTTGGTATACAAGTGTTTGAAATTTACTTGCAACTGCAGACTTACAGTAAGACTAAATGAGATTGATACATACAGGCACAGTGGTTGGCAAGTGGTAAAGCCCCTTGTTCACCCAGCAAAGTTAATAGAAATCAAATGCAAACAGTATAATAGTGTAATCACAATCCAGTCCCTAGTCTATTAAACTTAAAATGTAGAACACTGATTAGTTGAAAGAAATACTACTGGTTTTGTTTGATACATAAAATCCTTATCTCTGCTATGATGCAATAGCAAAACTGTGCACACTCTCAGTGGGCCTTCTGTCAATTGATAGTAACTGTCTCTGCAGTAGACAATCAGATTGTAGATTTGCCAATAGTCAGCAACTGGGACATGAGTATTACTACTAGGCTAAGTCGGTGACTGACTATATACAACTGCATTATCACCATATGAAAGATGCAGACGTCTTGATTGAATTACAAAATAATGCAGCATAGGAGTGTGTACAGCCTCTCTTTTTACGTTCTTGAAAAGTAGCTTTTTGAGTAAGTTAAGCATCAGTAAATCTTAACTTACAAAATTAAAGAGAACTTTCTACACCTGTCTAAAGGTTTTAATGGCCAATATAGTACTTATAATATAGCAACATGTAATTTTCAGTATTAACCCTGCTTCTGTTATCAAAACAGTCTTTATCTCAACTTGCTCATGCTCTGTGTGATGAAAAGCTTGACCACAGCAGTCTTGTTCAAGTCTTCTGGCCAAAATCAAGGTTTGTTTGTTAGTTATAATTAAAAATAATTATTATTTACTGATCTATCTATATGGACAGTCAAGTAAGGTAAACAGTTATCATATAAATAATTATAATGATATAATTATTTTATAATTTCCAATTTTTCAGATGCAAAATGCTGTCTGAAGATGTTGTTCTGGTTGACAGGTAAGAAGCAAAGAGATTAACCTGAAAATTGCAGTGTTCCATCACTGTCTAAGTCACAGATCCCATATTTGCTACATGAGCTAACCATTTACAAGTACATTAGTATATGTATACCAGTTATATGTGTAACTTAAAGAGTGTGATACAAACCTGTGCCTAAATTCCCTAGAATGAAAAAGAGGAACATGTCAAATTTTCATCATTATTATCAGTTTTAAAATTTTGAATTTACCATATGGACAAGTAGATCTCAAGTGGAAATGCCATTGCTTTACAGACTTTTGCTACAATGAACTTGTATCTTTAACCACCTGGTGTAAATAACAAAAATAATGTTAANCTTTTTTTGCGAGTTTATGGACCTCGACTCCGTCTCGGTCCATAAACACGCAAAAAAGAACTTGGCCAATATCCAGCCATCTTGACCTCACACTTGTATTGGTCAATAACCCATATATATAGCTGAGATTGTTTTAGGCTAATAATCATAATGCCGATACTGAGTAGTTGTGTGCTGAACTAAAATATTTTTACTCGGCCATGGTATTTCTAACCGTGAGAGAGGAAGGAACCGAGATGATCTCCCTAATAAAAGAATAAAATATAGATTAAACCCAGTTCACCCGTTGACCCTATGTATAACAGTTTGCCATTTCTGGCTTTCGTCTCGAGCGATAAAAGTTAATCTATCACAATAAAATATTTTTCTGTACGTAAAACCAACAGTTTCTCTCCACACTGAACCAGTTCATTTTATTTTTTGCTGGACACACACACCGGTGCGGAATGATGAACGAGATACCACTAGTTACATTGTTTCAGTGGGTTTCCTTCATTTTTTGCGATTAATCTCGTCAAATTTTTCGCTCACTCTTTTGCGCTTTCGTTGGCCTTTCTACTTGTTAGAAAAATTTCCATCCTCACCTCCAGGAAAATGAAAATTTTGAAGGAAAAGAGTCCATGGTGGGGACGATCACGATTTTCTCCCATGTTAAGAGAATAAATTCGAGGGTTTATTTCCGGTGTCTCTGGTCCAATTCATTTCATGGTGCTCTTTCAGACAAGCTTGGCAAGATCTTCTTAAGTCATTTTGTCTATAAATCTCTCCATATCAATAGAAAATGACAGAAGGTTATGCAATACGGTAAAGGACAGTAAACTGCGTAGTTATTTGTCATAATGTAAAGGGTAACTGTAGAATTCACACATAGCCAGACTTGTTCACCTGAATGGCACGTGAGAGTTTGGGCTCAGGCATGTACGCAGCGCGGACCTATTTTTGAAATTGGGCGATCGATAGCGTGCGCCCTGGCGGTGAGGAACTGAGTTCGAGCTTGGAAGGCAAGATTTTTTTTTCGCAGCTGTTATTTACCTTAACAATTCACTAAAGTACTTTTTTTCTCAGAAATTCTTAGAATTCTTAGAGCTGTCACAAATTTGAGAATGAACTACGGCCCATAAATTTTCCTTCCAAGGATTGAAGTGATAATAAATGGAAAAGACCCGGGAAAAGATCCAGGTCACGCACAACGATAAAAATAGATGGCACTCTTCTACTCTTTAATATTGAGGACCAATATTGGCTTTTTAGCTTTAATCACAAATGATCATTAGCATTTTGTTTTTGTTACAGAATCTGTTTTCCCACATTGTTTGGACTACGGCAAAACTTTGATGTATTTTTATGGAAATATAGCCTAATCGAAGTCTTAATTACATGTCAGACTTGAACAACGACGCCAGGCAAATACATCTACTGATTGCACCTATTTTGGGGCAGTTACACCTCACTTCCGATAAACAAAGACCTGCTTGTCAGAGCTCGTTAACGAAGTAAGTGGACTGTAATGAATCTTATTCATCGGATCGGTATCCGGAGTATTTGTTGTCTCGAGTTTCTAGGCACGCATAATTTTCGAATCCACTTGAATTGTGGGCTGTTAGATAGATTTCGTCATGTCCTAGCTAAACATGTATTTTATAGAGCTAGTTTGCTCACAAGTTTTACTGCCTTAAGTGTTTTCCTAATTAAGTCTTAAATTTTAAGATGGCCAAGGCAACAAGACAGTTGCGACACAATGAAGAACATTACGTTGCCAAGATGAATTTCCGAAGTGAGAAGATTCTACGAAGTCAAATCGACCGATTGAACAAGGAGAAACTGTTGCAGGTGAAAAGCCTAAACGCTCAAATGAGGACGTATGAGAGAAAGTTGCAGAAGATAAACGACAGAGTCGCTGAAGTGGAAAAACTTTCACGAACTGACTTCGACCCGTCTCAGCGTCTTCCAACTCGAGAGCACTTCAACAAGCTAAACGGTGATGCCGTGCGACAGCGACATCTCGCCACTGGAGTCGGTTACTCGTATATAGATCAGCTGTTAGGAGTATCAAAACCACTCGTGAACAGACCGCTAAGGTGGGGAATAAACCCGTCTTTACCAAGTCTTCAACAGCACACTTCTAAACCGATTACTCTGGTAACAGACGCTGCCTCGTCGAATGCATTCATGACGGAGATTAAAGGTCACCCTATCTATCTTCGACCGAGAGAAGCAGTTTATATCAAGAGGCAAAGACCTGCTCCGGATGCTTTGATTTTGCCTCCCATCGCATTGAAAACCAGTGAAAAACAAGCCATGGAACGGCAGTCAGTGTTTCATGTCGAGAACAATACAATGTCACATGATTCTTTGCCCGAAAAAGACGAAGTTAATCCCGTAATAACTATCCAGGACGTAAGTTCGCAGCTCTCTCCGATTACTGAAAGCGGAACTGAACAAGCAACAGAAATCTCTAAAACGGACGGTGAAAGTGATATTGCCATACATACAACGGGAATGTTAAAGAAAAAAGAACATATCAAGGTGAAACTGAATGAAACAGAACCGTCTAACATTATGGAAAAACCTGACATAGTTGTAGAAAACGAAGAGGCTTCGCGTATGAACAAGGAAATATTCAGGAGTGCTAGTAGTTCACCCTCATCATCATTGCGAGGGCATTTTATTACAGAATATGAGTTTCCATCACACGGTGCGAAACGTTTTACTCGAAGCACCGAAATGTTAAGTGTTGAAACGAGCGAGGCTCGGACCGAAAAATACAATGAAAACGAACCAAACTCATTTCGGTATCAACTTCATGCTAGAAGATTTTCTTTGTAAATTAATCCGACAAGAATGACCTTTCAAAATGGTATCACAATTTCCCTATTAATAGCAAAAAATTGAATATTTTACATATATTTTACATATGTATGACAAAACTATAGTTTCGTT